ATTTATATTAGATATAAGTATATCTTTCATTGTTCCTAAACCATGAGCAGGGTTTTGTAAAAGATACTTTTGGAGAGCGACCAGTGTTGGAATAACTTCAGATATGATGCAGTTAGTTGAACTGAAGCGCCTTGTAATTTCTTCAAAAGGTTTAAGCAATAGTAAAATATTTTCAGTCAGCTGCCATTGATTTTGTGATAGAGACCCAATTACATATCAGCTATAAATAGACTAATAGGTCTTTTTTGTTCAAACAACCTTTCTAGTAAATACTAAGTTGAGTTCCAGCGTGTCTGGACGTCTTGTACTAATTTTTTGGCAGGCATATTTAATTCCTTTTGAAGTTTTCACGTGAAACAGAAGAATGATTAAAATGTGTTACTATGTTTCGAGCAACTGCTATTAAATCAGACACGCTTCTTTGTGACCGATTTGCATCAATCACAACCAATTGTTGGGTATGAATAAAACAAGATTCGTGATCAATTTTCATGTATTTTGCAGCTTTTTTAATATTGGCTCCACCATCCCGAGGAAGTAAATGCAATTTTTCCGTGCCAATATTCCACTCATTTAAAATCTCAAACAAAACATTACAACTTTTTTCTCCCGTATGACTGCCTGAGAACGGTTTAATACTTAGCATGTTTTAGTTCGAAATTATAAGTTACCCAATGGGCCGTTAAACTTATAAAACTATTATTATTGACATCCGACGTCCACATATCTGTAGTAACTGAAATATATTCCGCCGCAGATATATTTTCCAGAACTTTAGCTCGGCAGCTATTATACACATCTGGTATAACAGTGTCTGTAAAGTATTTGCGGTTTGGAATTTTATAGTGAGGCTGAGGAGTTTCCATCAATCTGTTGAAACCTAAAAAAAAAAAAAAAAAAAAAAAATACGGAATTGCGATATTTTCTTATGCTTCGATACACTGTAAAATATTTATTTTTGCTGTTATAAAGGGCCAATAAAATTTAATTTGTCATGAGGTTGGCTCACCTGGTAGTTGTTAAAATTAAAATCATACAAAAGAAACATAACAAAAAAATATTTGTTGTAAAATAAAGATCTCAGAAATGAAAATTTTTTAGCTGTTTTAACTTTACCAAATATGGCCCTGCAAGACTATTGTAATGTAATGTACTGTCAGTCACTAACCTCTATCAGTTACTAATGTATAAGGCTGATTGTCCAGGGCTACCATCTCCGCTATTGCTTTATGAATTTCTATTGAGCGTGTATCAGTAATATCCCATGTTTTTGTTTTTTCAATAAAATTGGTACTAAGCCGCTGCTGGTTTGGTTTAAAATGTTCGTATATTTCTCCCTGTGTCTGCTCTTGAATTTTACGATATTCTTCAGTATGTTTAAACTTTAAATGTTTTAACAAAGACGATGTAAAGGATTTTTTGCCTACACCGCATCGGCTGATATGACTTACATACGTTACATACTGCTACAAATTGGTCATCTTCTGGTATATCAAAGTAATCCCAAACTTTACTTCTTGCTTTAACACTCATATTTAACTCTTTTTTAGAACTGTACATTAGTGTACACTCACTTAAAATAGTTTTTCGGAAGTTAACAAATGGATTCATAGATCATAAATAACACAATAAATAATTTAGGGACTCCCAGACGATTGTTAACGTCGCACGTGATTCACTGAATAGTGCCGACAGTAAACAATTGCCGTACCAACGATTTATTCCGAGCCACGCCGAGCGTTTCATAACGTTAAAAATGCATCAAAATTTAAATTAGCTTGTCGCGTAACCATAACCAATAACACAATACCGCTCTTTTAGTTTTATTTTATATTTTAAATAATATTTTTGAATAAAAGCAAGATTTTACTAGACATTCAACTGACAGATATTTTTTTACTACCAGACGGCCGGGTACCCGGTACCCGAAACAGAAGTTGCGCCGGGTACTCGGTACCCGGCTATTCAAAAAAACTGTTCCCGGTGCATCTCTAATTTCTTGTACAAGGTGCCCAAAAAAATCAAAAATGTGAAAATAGTGCAAAAGTACCGTTATTTTTAGTTTTACATCAAAATGTGAAATAGAAATGTTTTTTTCTGGAAACTAGATAGAGTCAAATTAGACATTTCACCTGGAATTATTTAACTTTAAAATTATTAATAAAATGTAAGTACTAAATAGTCACTGATTTAAGAATAGCGAAATTTTAATGAATTCTTACACTGTTTCTTAAATTAAAATATTTGTCACTAAAATCTCCTCCATTCAACAGACAATTTTATTATTACAAGGCAGTCTAAAAGTTATTCAACATTAAAATTTTTCTTCAGTTGAAAAATAAGGTAAAAATTAAATTTCTACGCCTCATTTAAACACTGCCATTTTTTAATTATTTATTTAATATCTCTAACGGCCGGTATTATCACCGTTTTAAAGAGACGTTTAACTTAAAGGGAGTTTTAGTGACAAGAAAATTTTTTACAAAAATATAAATATGTCGGCTCAGTGGTTCAATTCTTACACGTTAGGCTTGAATCCAAGGGGTCCCGGGTTCGATTCCTGGCTAGGGCATATACATATAATGGCGTTTTTAAAATACCGAGATAGTAGGTAGGCTAGAGCGTTGTTGTGTGGCAAAACACGGCTAGTGAGTCTATCTCTTCTGAGTTCGAGTCTCAGCTGCGGCATCAGACAAATGTCGAAGGGAATGGTTGTTGTGTGTGTGTCTGTCCTGGTTGAGTGGTGGAATAGCAATGTGCTAAACTCGACCAGGACGTTATTATAATCTATAATAATCTTTGCAAAAGCAGTTTGAAATTTTTCACTTTTAACCCTTGTTTCTTAATGGTTTACAACACGCGCTCGCTATTCTCCTGGATTTGCTCAAACTATTCTCATGTACTAGCAAGCAGCTTTTGTAAACAATTAAGAAACAATGGTTAAAAGTGAAAAATTGTCGAACTGCTTTTTCCGAGGTTATTACATAGTTGAAAGAAAATGCAAAAAATTGTATTATATTAAAAATTTATTTTTTTAATATACGCTTGAAGGGCAAATTCATGTAATAACTTTCAAACATTTCTAACTCAAAAACTGTTTACTTTGCAACAAAAGCTAAGCTACATTTTCTGTTGGAATTTGAACAAAGGATATGAAAAAAGTTGGACGCAAAAAAAATTACGGTTTTTAGTTGTTTAAACAATTTTGATTAAACAATATCTAATCAGGTTTCCGGCCGGCAACATGCACTTTCATAATTAGAGCTTCATCCTGAATATGATCTTTTAAAAAATTGAATCCGAAAAGTTTCTTATACTTATGCGCCGATAAGACCAGTAGAGGAAAGTTGCCGGTGCAAAATAGAGCCCCTCATCCACTTTTCTGATTGGTCTACAGACTGACCTACCTTTGTCATTAGCTCACAGACCACGCCCATTTCATTGGTCCAGTGACCACACCCACACAAATTATGTTTATAACAGTAGTAGCAGACGTGACTCGTAATAGTGTTGTGTCAAACCTGTGATACATCAAGCTTTTTCCATGATGCAATTGGTGTAGTGAGATTGCAGTTGCTACAGAAATTTTTGGATTTACAAACTGAATACTTTCAAGATCCAACAACATTTACCAATTGGCAGGAATATAAGGATCATTATTTTGATTACTATCACGTCACATTTGACAAATACTTTAGTGGACTAGATATTTGTAATACCTTTCTGAATCAAGATATTTGCATATTTTGTGTTGGACAAAGTTTGGCGGATCTAGGATTGTCAGAGGTAACTGGTGTAAAACTCATCGAAGAGTATTTAAGAGAAGAGAAGACATTGGCATCAGTATCTCAGGAATTGAAAGAACTTATCCTAGTGTAATATGCAGTGTTCCCCCGACTTAGAACATGAAATTATTATTTTGTCAGAATATTTTAGAGATATGAAAAATAGTGCATTACATGAGATAAATTATGGTTTACATTCTTTCAGTGAGGAAGATTGTGGAAAATTATACCAGTCATATCTGGAGGCATATGAGATGTGTTCAAAATTTTTGATTGATAATAATATAAGAAATCTCGTGCAAGGTTTAACTAAATTAAAAATGGCAAATCATTTATCTCATTTAATGTATTTTATACCACATGATCTTAGAGATGGAATAATTTCTGATTCATAAATGTTACTTTAAGTAAAATAAAAGAATATTAATTAATATAAGTATTTTTATTGTTCATCCATTAAAAAATTATCATACAAATAAAAAACATTAGTAAATGCACATATAGAGAATTCTTTAGTATGATAGAAACAGCGTGTCCTTCCAACTTGTAATTTTGGACTTTCAGCTAATTCATAAACTGGGTTCATAGAATACTTTCGGATGTAATCAGCCTTTTCTTTCCCCTTCACGTAAACACATTCAACTTTACTAGTTAAGTTCTTAATTACATGAAAACTGATATAAAGGTGTAAATCCAAAGTTCCAGTCAATGCAATGATGATTATTCAAAATCCAAAGAGCTTGTTTATGTAAATATAGTGGTAGCAATTTCATGGCAAACGGTGGTTTGAAAATGTAGTGACATAGTTGCGTTCCATCATATGCAGCTAGCTGTTTAACAATTAATTTATTGTTTTCAATCTTGAACCCTTGTATATCTATTACCAGTTTCATAGTTTTAATCAAGAAAACTGAACTAATACTTGCTTTTTTAAACAATAGAATTTAATATCTCGCTTGAGCTTTTTTGAGATTTCGTTGGTAAACAGTTAGTTGTTGTTTAAAGGTATAAGACATAACTAAATGATTTTCGAACTACTTCATAATAAGTAGTAAAGAAAGTTTTCTGTCATATGTATTTTAGAGCTGTCGTACAATTTTAGTTAAAGGGTTGTAAGTGAAATGTTTTTCATGTAATATAAGACAGTATGCTGTAGTCTCTGTTGATGTGGGTTGTTCCGTTTCAAACTCAATTCTCATTACTATGGATCCGGTTTGAAGTGTATCTTTTTGTCGGGAGCAATCGATATGTGTGATAGGCGCATGTATTTTAAATTCCGTGGGACTAAAAATTGGTTGATTATTTTTGTGTGAATAGTATGATTCCTGGAAATTTGCAAACATTTCATACAAAGTTGCAAATTTGTTATTTTCAAAATCTAGCTATAAATCGTTATATGGATACCTTTCCGAATTAAGGTAAATTCGTATCTTTTTTAAACTAAAATCATCAAATTTAGACATGTCTTTAGTAATTTTTCCTCTTCGTGCTTTTTGGAATGCGATAATAACATGTCTGGGTGTTTCAACATTAGTGGTTGTTTTAACAGGCCATGTATGTCTGATAGTTGTTGATAAAGAGGGGTATTCAATTAATTCCCAACTTCTAAATTTGATGGGTAGCTCGATGTTCCTATTAACAATTTTATTTAATTTAAGTTATTCCTGAATGCTAACGGTAACATGAGGAACCCTCCAGAATAATTTTTGTATCTCTATTTTCGGTTCTTCACTTTCATCCTCACTAGTTATGGCATCGTTATCATTACTACCACGTATCAATACAAGTTCTTGTTTCATGTTAATAATTAGTTTACGAAAATCTTCAAAAAATCCTAGTAAAAGTTTCATTGGTATGCAAACATTAAAATTTCCGTTAGAATCAACTAATATTTTTTTATTTGGAGCAGTTGTCGGTGTAATCTTTTTCGGAAACCAGCCAGCATTTTCAAATAAAACACTTTCATTTTCATTGTATGACAGATAATTTTTAATGGTTGAGACTAATCCAACATTTCTAACTGAATCTACCACGATACCATTCAACTCATATCTAATCTCTCGAAAAATAAACGCTATTCCATTATTGACAAATTCCAATTTTGTGGCTTTACTCTCATCTGATTTTGTTAGTTTTCCTTCAATGTATAAGTAACTGTTGCAAGGTGCTGTATATGCATCTAAATGTTGAATAGGAATCCTGATTTCATCATTATAATTCAAATTTCCAGGTATGTATATATGTGTGAAATTGATAATCTTCTACTGTAACATCGCTAAAGGGTTGACCAGTTACATTTAATAGATCCATTACACTAATACTTGTAATCCAAGAGATTCCAAAAACTGACGATTCACACGTGTTAATGGTTTAAACTCGCGAGAGGTACTAATAGTTTTCTTCTTTTCACACTTTTTTATATAGTAGGGTGTGTATTGAGTATGATGCGAATTAAATTTTAAGACCATTTTCAGGATTTAATTTTTCTTAGATGTAATCTCACGGTTATAGTTTCTTTTCGAAAATTCACAAGGTTATTGTCTTGATCAACCACTTTTATCGTAACTTTGTTGATAGTCTTAACGCTCACTGGAAAGTAAATTATATTTAAAGGTGACTCCACTATTTTATATCCTACAGGTACTGTTGGAAAAAACTGATGTATGATGTGAACAGGTTCTCCATTAAAAAATGAACCAACAGCGAAGTTGCATCCTATGTAAAGGGTGTTGACTTTTGAAATTCTAACAATATCATCAGATATGTAGTTGTCACCAGCCTTTAACATTCTTTTTCTAAAACCTAGTAGAGGGCCTATGGAATTGTCTACGTCAAAAGTAATGTTTATGTTCGTATGAATAATTACTTTTGAAATGTTAACGTCGGGAGTAATTCTTATGATAGCATCCTCATCTTCTTGGGTTATTGCAGTCGTCATATAATTTGTAATATCATCAATATAATTATAATAACAAAAAATTGTTGAAAAACTCCGGAGTTGTCATTAGAGAAGATTTGACAGCAAATCAGTTTAATTTACTGAAGGAAGCTCTCAAAAAAGTAGGCCCAGATGGAAGAGTTTGGACAAATTTTGGTTCTATTTTTCTCAGCTTTAAGGATAATAATACTATATTTAAAATAAATAGCTCAGATGATATTAATCAACTTTGATAAAATGTTATACAACTTTCTTTAACAAAATGTATATCAAGAGTTACTTTAAATATCGCCAATTCACTTTTATATTCAGTTAAAACCTTATGGATTAAAATAAGCAGCATTAGTGCAGTTGAGTTGAATCCAAACAAACACTTTTTAAGTTTAATTTTTTTGCTATGCTATAGGTTTTTATATTACTTTGTGTTAGCAAACCTATCTTATTTAGAAATTAATACAATTATTTTTTGTTTATTCTGCTTTTTTGTTAAGGCAGGCATAGAGTTGTAATTTTGTAAAAAAATTTTCTTGTTTTTAGTTTATATGTATTATGCTTATTGGTTGTCTAAATGTTAGATCATTATTACCATCGTATCAGCATGTAAGGGAAATTATATTAAGTGAAAATTTTGATGCATTTGCGATTTGTGAAACGTGGTTACGAGAAAGTGTTAGCAATGAGTTTTTAAACACTGGGGGTTTTAAAATATATAGAATTGATAGAAATACAAGAGGTGGGGGCTTATTGATTTTCATTAAGAATAATTTTAATAGCGAGGTAATTAATATTCAGAGTAATTTCTGTGAACAGTTATGGATTAAAATAAAAAATAAAAAAAAAATATTTCTT